CTTAAGGGACCCTAGAACCCCCCTTAGGGTCCATAACCCTAGACCCCTGGATGTCCAAGAAGCTCAGGCAAGCAGGAACGGCGAAAGGAACGCAGCCGAAGTGTGAAGCCGAGGGGTTGGGTCGGGTACGGGTTTCTGTTCAGGTTTCATGGTGTGAGGTGGGGTGGGGTGGGGTGGGGNNTGCGTGTGTGTGCGTGTGTGCGTGTGGGCGTGTGTGCGTGTGGGCGCGTGGGCGTGTGGGCGGGTGTGCGTGTGGGCGGGTGTGCGTGTGGGCGGGCGTGCGTGTGGGGGGTGGGTGGGGGGGGGGGGGGTGGGGTGGGGTGGGGTGGGGTGGGGGGGGGGGGGGGGGGGCGGAATCTAGCAGTCTAGCAGAACTCTGGTAGCTCATGCGGTGGTAATGCTTGCATTTTCAAGGCCTCCGGGCTTTCGGGATCGGGATCTGTTGAGCTGGATGGGAAGCGTTTTGCACCTTGACAGCGAAGCCTTTGCCTGCCGTGGTCTTGGCTTTCCGTCAAGCATTCAAGTCTACGGGTCCGAAAAGACACAGCATGGTCAGCTTACGCTCCGAGTGGAAGTATGTGTTCCAGAGCACCAAAACCCCCACGAGCACTGCAAGACCTGCCAGCAAGGCCGCGATCGCCGAAAGCGCCGGGATGATGGCAAAGGTGGCATCCATAGATCTTGGCCGAATATTATGGTGGCTATCGGTATTGTAGAAGGCACCGCCATGGACACAACAGTATCAGAACGTCATAGTCATTGTCATTGTCATCGTCATCGTCGTCATCATCACCACCACCATTATCATCATCATGCGCATAATCTTCCTACCAGCTTGCCACCTGCTGCCTCCTACTACTTGCTACCAACCACGGCTCTCTACGTACGTACTGGGTCAATGCTGCCTACTATGAGTGAGAGTATTTTGAAGCAGCAGTAGCATTGCCGCTGCCACATTTATACTTGTAGCCATGCTATGTTCTTAGATCTGAACTGACTCCTCAACTGGGGTTGTGGCATTCGAATTCTCTATGACTTCATGGTATCACACCCAGAACTTCAAAATCCAGAATCTTCCAGCGGTTCGGAACAGGCAAGAAGCGGTCCGATGGCCCGCCCGCAGGCAGGGGTCATGGGATCGGGTGTATGGACTTTCAGAGTTGAGGCGTGCCGAAAGCGCCAACCCCACCGACTCCCCAGTCGGAGTCGGGGGCGACTGCGGTTAAGCAGTGAGGCTTGAGTTTAGGGCTTCAGGGCTTTGGATAAGGGCAGGTTGGGTTTCGCTGTGCCACAGGACATTTGATTTAAACTGGCCCTTGCGCGCGGCGTCCGCCTCCTCACTTCCCCGTGCAACCGCAACCCTGCACCGGTTTAGGGCTTTAGGGTTTTAGGGTTTTAGGGTTTTAGGGTTGAGGGGTTTAGGAGTGTAGGGGTTTAGGGTTGGGACAGTTCGAGGTCACATTACCGGAGCCAAACTCTGAGGCCCACCCTCACTCCACCGTGACCCTTCCGAAGTACTACCAGCAGCGTCAACAACACCAGCAGCATCATCTCGGACAAAACATCATCAAGCTTTGTCGTCGTCGTTGTTGCTGCTGCTGCTTCTCCTGCCATTGTTCGACTGGTTTCCCATCTCCCATGTAAACCCTGTAATTTCTGATTCGAGTAGAATCATGAATTATTCGGTGGTGTACTTTTCTCCGCGAGTCGGAAATTCCCCCAGGCTATGCCATGGCATACGTCCCTGGGTACCCGATGCCCGCGGGGATCCCCGGATTCTGGACTGTAAATACACATGTAGTCAGTCATGTAGTGTAGAACATGGGGCAAATGCACATGGTCTTTCAGTGTAGTGCTGCAATGTAGAACCATACTGAAGTAGGTGGGTGTGGATGATTTGGCTGACAGCATTTCTACCAGTGCTTTTGAGCATGCCGGCCTACCAAGGCAGCCCTAGCTTACACGCCGTCCAAACCCTCTAATCCAAACTTTCTTCGGTATGTATATGTATATATATATATATATATATGTGTATATATATATATATACACACCACCACATACATATACGTATACATATATATACACATACTCAAACGTACATTTGCACATGCACGGTACATAAGAATTGTGTAGGCGTTCTGGCTCCTGAGGTCGCCTATGGAGGCGGCCCTTGGGGTCCCTATGGCCCGTGCGGGCGCCAGTGTGCGGTGCGAGGGTTGCGAGGGGCTAGGGGGGCTTTGATCCGCTGAGAACAGCGATGTGGTGATGATGGCATTAGTTATTGGTGATGGCGATCGTGAGCTTGGGCACTTGGCAATTAGTTGTTTCATTCCTAAAGTTGATACCATTATGTGTCATCAGTGATGTGCTGCATCATCCTCATCATTATCATCATCATCAGCAGTTGTCTTGTCGTTCATCTTCGAGGGCATCGTTTCTCAAGAGAAAGCATGGGAACCGTACCTTCACAATGCATAACTCGGTATCTCCCAGTATTCTACGACGCACTGGACCCTGGACCGTAACCCCGATCCCTAAATCATCCCAAACTTCCGACCCACAAGGGTTGGGTTGTGATTCTCACAAGCGTCCACGATGTCGGGTGCCATTGTGGGCAGGCAGTGCGAAACCTTAATCTTGTTTGAAGTTCAACATTCCCACATGAGGCATGCACAGTTTTTGTAAAGCTCATTGCAGACCCAAAGCACAAGACCCAGCACCCAGAGCGCAGAATCAAAAATCCCAACCCCCAAAGCCCTAAACAAAACCTAGAGGCCTTCGCTCCTGAGCCATGAAGCCCTTCATGTTACCATGAATATGTTGTAATTACTTGACTATACTATACTATACCACGCTATATACTATACTATACTATACTATACTATACTATACTATACTATACTATACTATACTATACTATACTATACTATACTATACTATACTATACTATACTATACTATACTCAAGATGAGGCCCCCCTACGGCATGAATTGGGGCCCTCCGGGAGATTACAGCGCCGCCCTGAAATACACGGGGGAGTTTCTTTCAGGTTCAGGGTTTGGGTGTTTTCGTGGTTTTGGATGGGCTTCAGGTTTTTAGGGTGCGGGATCTCGTGTCCTTGGTTTAGGGTTTAGGGGTCTAGAGTTTGAAGATTCAGGGGTGTAGGCTTTGGGGCATCAGGTTTCAGGTTTTGGGGTTTAGCCTCATGCTAAACACACTATCTGCAAAACTTGCAGTGCACAAGAACCTCACATAGAGTCGTTCTGATGCCGAGAAGCTCTTGACGACAGCCAGCCCTGCACCCGAACCCTAAACCAAGTCCTAAACCCCAAAGCCTGAACCCGAGACGTTCGGGATCTGCCCCAGACAGAAAATTTCGACCAGGTGAGGAAACCCACACACCTCCGACTCGTACTCCTATCGCATATTCCACTTCGAAACTGCAAGGACCAGGCGTGTCATCTTGGCCGTTTCATGAAGCCCTTGTTTCTGAGATGGCATGAACCCTTCCCATGAGAGCCTCGCTTCGGACGATGTAGGTTCGGGTTACGGTTTGGGGTTTGGGATTTAGGGTTCCGACCAAAGAGTTATCTTAGCTGCAGGCAGTGAGGACATCACAGTCCCCTAGAAAAATCAACACTTTTCTGTAAACCGAATCCTACTGTAGCCCACTTCCAAGTCCGATATCCCCGAGCCCCAAACCAGCCGTCAGTCCTACTTCCTCAACCCCTCCCCCTGAAGCTTATACCGTATACCCCCCAAATCCTAAATACCGTTCGAAACCTCAAACCCAAACCCCAAATCCCAAACCCTCAACCTTACCCAAAGCCAAACCCCCAAACCCTCAACCTCAAACCCCCAAAACCTAGACCCTAAACCCCAAACCCCGAAACCCTAAACCCTAAACCCTAAACCCCTAAACCCTAAACCCTAAACCCTAAACCCTAAACCCTATACCAGGCCAGACCAGTCGGGCAATAAAAAGTGACCGACACGACCGCCGGGGCCGAGATGGGCGCGGTGCGGGGCCTGAGTTGTTGGGGTTCAGGGGGTTCAAGGATTTCTGGTTTGGATATTTAGGGTTTAGGGTTAGGGTTTAGGGTTTAGGGTTTAGGGTTTAGGGTTTAGGGTTTAGGGTTTAGGGTTTAAGGGTTAGGGTTTTCGGTTTCCGGGTTTCCGATCCAGTTAGGTTGAGTTTGCATTCCTGGGTTGAGGTAGAAGGCACAGGCGGGCCTTTAGGGTAAGGGGATGCTGTGAGTCGGAGTGCGACATACAGCAAAGATGCATAATTGCGTAGACAGGCATGCAGGCATCCACACGTCCATCCATCCTTCCTTCCTTCCATCCCTCCATCCCTCCATCTCCCATCCATCCAATCCATCCAATCCAGTCCAGTCCAGTCCAGTCCAGTCCAATCCAATCCATCCACCCTCCATCCATACATCCATGCACGCGCGAATGCGATGCATCATGCAGACACACATACACACATATACACACATTCACATGCGAGGCAGATTGGCTCCCCAATCCAGGTTGCCAGGGCCGAATCTCTCAGAGTTGTTTGATGTCTCTCAAACCAGGTTCCCAAAAATGAAGAACATCAGGGTAGGCAGTTATTTCACCGCAGCTCCGAACTCCTCCACTCGAGTTGAAGGTTTACTGCAGGGTGTTCCTTTCTCCACTCAGGCCGATTCTTGCCTCAAGCCCTCTTTCCCGACCCTTATCCATGAACCGAATCGCAGGACTCCAGGAAAGCAGCAGTCCAAGCCCGAAGCTGAACGCCATCCGAAGACAGCCTGCCCCAAGTTTTGTCCTTACAAACAATGCCATGCCTGGTGTTGTCGATGGTGAAGATCGCCATCGTCGTCATCATCATCATGATCCTCGCCATCATCATCAACATCATCATCATCGTCATCATCACCATTATCACCATCATCACCATCATCATCACCATCATCATCACCATCATCATCACCATCACCACCATCATCA